GATCTTTAGATCGGGTTAACATAGGTTTACTATACTTAATTCCTTACATCAGTTGACCTCAGTTTTAAATCTGTTTCTTAGTGTTAAAACGATTTGGTTGATGAAAAAGCAAGATGTAAAAGCAGGGGGCCGAGTAGGAAAAACATTTAGGAAAAGTTCCTACTCAACATTTAGTAAAAGCGGTATAGGAATATAGTGCATTAGGGAGTGCGGAGATAGGAAAAATTCTAACGCTAACGCGTTAATCGGCCCCTGAAGTTTTAACGAACAATCGTATGCATACGAAGAAATAATCATTTAATTAATCACTTCAATAGATTCAGCGTTGAAAATTAGAAGAGAGGGAAGTCGTCAAAACTTGATGGTTAGTGTTGTGGCTCTTCGTTCTGAAGTCACCACAATAACAAAACCAACAGCGAGGCAAGCGCCTTATAGAAACTACTTAGTGGGCATTCCCCGGCAATGGCAACTTTTACTCATAGTTACAATTGTTCAAACACATGTCATTTAACCACCTCTGAAGTGCACGCGAAATCGCTAAAGAAGGAGTTGTTAGACGTGGGTTGAACATAAAAGTGAGGAGAGTACATCACTCAATTTATCCAAAAACATGAAGCGAGTTCGTTTGCAAAGGTTGGTACCATTGTTAGAAGCCACGCCTCCTTTCTACCCAGGATTGTCGTAGCCACGCCCATTTCTAAACAAACTGTGCAGCTTTGATTTTAAACCGGTAGAAGTTGTAATCGGGATATCTTCTGGCATCGATTAAAAGCTTATTCGGTGGCTTAAAGAACGGTGCACAATCGGCTCGCTTACACTTCCCTGTTTAAATCAATACTAACTGCGCTAGAAATTAAAAACAAGACACGAAGAATAAGCGTAAATGTCGCATATTGTTCAGCTTGCTGTCGTTCTCGTCTGGAACGTCGCACGAAAATTTTGAACATATCGTTCGGAAGCTTAATGTTCGGTTTTGAATTTTTGTCTCATACGTTTTACTGTTAAGTGAAAATGTAAGCCGCAGGGATCAACAGAAAGAATGCTAGAAGTGCGAACCATTGTTGGCTTGGCAGGATTATGCCGATTTTGGTGATAATTTCGATGTTTAACTTTAATTTTCTCAAAATGGGCCAGAAGGATTTTAATGAGGCTATAGTCAAATGAAATCTAATTTTTGGATTGATTTTTCGATAAAATTTTATTAGAATCTGTACAACAGAAGTTGAGGTACCTTAATGAATGCGGGGGAAGAAAAAGAATTTCCTCGCACGCGGGGGGGGCCTAAAAATGCTATTAGGAAAACTGGATTAGGAATTTTGTACGGGAATCACAACTTTTTTCAATCCCTGTTTGTTTCATTTGCTTTGCCTCTAGATTCTATTGTGACCATTGCATTTTGTTAAACTAACAATGATTGAGTAGTTTATCGTTGAGTTTGTGTACACAGTAACTAAATATTAAATTTCTTTTCCGCAGACTTGCTGAGATCACTTCAACACATCTTGTCCCAGCGCAACCTGCTGGTTGGTGCTGGTTGGTTCATCTGAGCTACAATATGTAGCGGCAGCGGCAGCCACGGCTACTGAAAGAGAACCTTCCCCAGGTAATAATATATCAATTGAGTTTGTTCTTATTCTGTTATTAAATGGTGTACATATGGGAATGAGTCTAAAAATGAATGTAACTTTCTCACATTGACAGGATTGGCTGGCAACTCTAGGAGCAAGGTTCAAGTCATCAGCTCTGTATCATCAGAATCATCTGCTGATGATGTTCAGGAGCGAATGAAGGCTGCTGCGAAGAGCTTCAAATTGAAGAAGCCTCTCATTCATCAGAATTGGAGAGAGAGTCTCCCCTCTACCTCAAGAGCAGGTAATATATACTCTTTGATTCATTTATTCTACATCTGATTTGTTACACCATGACCTTAACCATGTAACTTTTCCTTATGGTAGGTCGTGGGGACGAGAAACCTCCAGCGATTAAGAGGCGTCGTGGCCCTGGAAGACCACTGGGTTCAAATAAGAAGCTTGCAAGACCACATCAATCTTATGCCTCAGGTATGTCAATCCTTTAAAGCTACATCTGTTATCGTGGGCCTAGAGAGTATCTTCAGAATTTGTAAAATGATGTAGTAATTATTCTCAATGAGATTGTCCTTGGGAATACTATAATTAAACTATCATTAATTCATTGCACTGCTCTAACGTTTGCAGATTCTGAGGATGACCCTAGCTCAGTCCAAGTCTCCTCTGATTCTTCTTGTGAAGAGAATGCTCGGGCGAAGAAGCCCACAACTAACCATTCCAAGTCGAAGTCAGCAGGTACGGTTATTGTTACTGGTCAATTTCCCCATTCATCCCATTTCCTCAGTTGTTTTGGTAGTATATCGTCAAGTAACCCTCTTTTTCTCCCTTTCCATACTAGCTGCTTTGCCTTCCTCTGTCAAGAGAGGTCCTGGAAGACCTAAAGGATCAAAAAACAAGTCGAAAAAGGAACAATCATGTGCCTCAGGTTGGTTCATTTGACATTTTGAGTTAGTGTTGCCTGTATCCTCCACCTTAAGTCATTTTTCTAATCGTCAGCTTCATTTTCAGACAATTCGGGGCTGTCGTGTCACATTTGTAGAGAGGGCCGTGATGGTGGGGCATTTTGTCTTACCGATTGTGGCCATTTATTTCACAAGAAGTGTTGAGATCGTTGGATTGCGACGTCTAGCCAGAAGTATAGGACTCACAAAACGTGTCCATACTGCGGTGGCACCTTCCAAAGCAGCATCCCGTTTTATGGGTAGGTTGTACGCTGTTTGGACTTGAGTTTCTCAAGGTTTGGAAATGCTTTGTATATCATTGTATATAATTTTAAGTTAAATTTAAGTTGACTGTGGAATCAGAATCGGAGTCAGAGTGACAGTGGCTAAGAAATATTCGACATTTGCCGATTTTAATAACTGTTGTCTGCTGTTTGGCAATGCTTTTCTTATTGTGTATAATTTTAATTTAATAAGATATTATTTGAGATGAATGTGCTGTGTCAATTTGGCATCTTTTCTAGCTTTTTATTAGTTAGTACTCTACTTGTATTTGTGCTGTCAATTTGGCATCCTTTGTGCTTTTGAATAGTACTTGACATGTGTATTTTCATGAATTTCATTATGATGTAATGACTAAGGTTGATTAAATTTTATGACCTTCCAATTTACTTCTCTTTTCCTTTTGCGGTTGGATCGTCTACCACACATGAGAACAAGGCTGGGTCAAGTTTCATTTTCCTCTCAGCAGATTTTAAAATAATTTGTATGGAATCATTCGGTGCTGGTTTTGTAAGGAAGACGAAGCATCTTGCTCTAATGGAGGTATCAATGTCAACCACAACCATACCTAAATTTACACATTAGCAGGATTCAAGTGCATTTACAGACTCCCCCATCTAAAAACTTCGAACTTTAACTTGTCTTGCTGCACCATGAGAGAAGGGCGCCCTGGAGTCCCAGCTTTCCCCCCCCCCCCGAGAAGCCGCTTGACACACTTTGGCAACGTCCTGACGCCGCTGTATTGGTCGTAGAGCATTTTCAAGGAGCGCGTCGGACTCAGCACGTTTAGACGAAGAGGAAGATGTTCTGTATGATACTGTTTGAAAACCTGGGAGCCGGCCTGAGCACTTGAAACCTACTACGAGGGG